TGACTTGTTGGAATGAGTTGTTTGCTCTCCATAAGGAGCTCAGAGTTAAAAACTCACCCCGGTACGCTTAATTGGGTTCATTTTCGCTTAATCCACATTCTCTTTACACATTGTTGCAAGGAATTCACTTTTCTCAAATTTGTTTAAAAGAATGGAACGTTTTTGTTACGCCTTCCTTTGAGTTTCAATCACAAGAGTTAATCACATATCATAGCGGCTAACAACGTGATGGAATTGATTTGGATATATTGGTTTTCTCACACGTTTTCTAATGTCGATTAGAAAGTAATGTTTCATTTGATCGTTATCAAATTGAGCTGGTTGTACTAAATTTCCCAAAACTTTTTTAGCACATTCAATCATTTAGTTTTTTTTTCATGAATTCTATAAATCACAGATTGCGTTTAGGTCAATGTTTGAATCAATAAACAGCAATAAGCTTATTCCCACTATTACGATAGCTGTCACAATAGAATTAAAAACGACTTTTTTCGAATGTAGTTAAAACTAAATGATCCTAATGCCATCTAACCAGACAGTACAATATTTTTGTTTAAGCTAATCTTTACGAAAGTACATCATAGGTTCATAAACGGAAGAGAATATAAGAAAAGAAACTCTTGGAGCAAAAGTGGCGGTTATATCTAATTATTTCAACAGTAAAAGGGTGGGATCTAGATGCCAATGTAGTAGCACGCTTAAATTCATATAGTAGAGGCACTAGGGAAAAAAGCACGTCAGAGCAGTTGCCATGAAAATATTGTAGAAAAGACAGAGGGAAACCACACACGCACGCACACACATATAATATATATATATATATATATATATATATATATATATATATATATATATATATATATATATATATAAAATGGGTAGAAAAAGTATTTAATAGATTTTATAAATTTCACAATAAAAATTGTTCAATTTGAATGATACCTACTACAGATTGTCTAAATAAACATATAGGAAAATTGAGAAATATTGTTCTTATGTACTTTTATTGCCAATTGTCGAATTTGACTGTGTGCAAAAGTATTTAACACCTATATATATATATATATTGTCTTAACACCTATATAAATAATACCGTAAAAAGGGTATTTTAAAACTAATTTCAGTTATTTTGATATGGTTTGTACTTCAACCAATCACAGGTTATCTTCAATATATTTATTAACCAAGCACATCACTCAATCGGCACATAGTGATAACATGTCTGATACAGTACAGACTGTCCCGCTATTTAAACTTATAAAAAATGGTTAAAAAAAATTGTCAAATGATATGCGACAGAAAATTATAAAGCTTCACAAAGATGATAAAAGGAATGAAAAAATTGTTCAAGATTTAAATTTGCTTGAGTGTACAGTGGGTGATGTTGTTTGAAAGTGGGAAAAATATAAAACTACTGAAAATATTCAAAGTAGTGGTCGTCTGCGTAAATTAAAAGAGGCTATTGAACGTGAGGAATGAGAGGAAACAACCATTTTTGACTCGAAGTGAAATTCAGAACGATCTGAAAAATGCTGGAATTGAAGTAAGTAAAGCTACAATTAAGAGATCACTGAATCGTACAGGTTTGTTGTATTTTAGATCACAAAAAAAAAGACTCCTTTATTAAAATGTAAAGATGTGCAAAACCGTTAGACATTTGTTAAAAATTATGAACTTGAATCAGATGAATTCGGAAATAAAGTTTTTCGGGAGAAACATGTGCACCCAAGTATGGAGGAATACAGGAATTGAACACAAGCCCGTAAATAACACCCCAACAGTCAAATATGGCGGTGGGTGGAAGTGTAATGAATTGGAGTTGTTTTTTTGTATAACGGTGTAGGAGAAATGGAAGTCATCGAAGGAAGAATGAATGCAGCAATATACAAGCAAATCTTATCAACCGATCTATTAAAAAGTGTAACAGGTTTTGGACTTGACCGAGATTTTGTATCACAACAGGACAACGATCCAAAACACATGGCTAAAACAACTCAAGACTGGTTCAATGAAAATGGAATAGATGTTTTGAAATGACCTAGTCAGTCACCGGATCTCAATCTAATAGAAATATATCGAAAATGTTGTAGTTGAGAGTACAAGCAAGAGATCCAAAAAGGAACTGAAGAAAGTCTGTGAAGAAGAATGGATAAAACTGCCAAAATCATCATGCAAGAAGCTCGTCGAAAACCCATAGAAAACGACTAGAGACTGTAAGGCAGAACAGGATATGCGACTAAATATCGTGTTAAATACATTTGCAAACAGTCAAATACAAAAATTGGTAATAAAAGTACATAAAAACAATGTTTCTCAATTTTCCTTTATGTTTAGTTAGACAATGTTCATTAAAAAGTTTGAAGTAAGTACAATTTTTTATTGTGGAATTTATAAAAGCAAATGTGCCTGAGCGAAAGTCTGCAATACGATTTGGCTTAGCAGCCCTCTTCGAATACGAGGGGGCTATTATATATATATATATATATATATATATATATATATATATATATATATATATATATATATATAATATCAATTTGTGACAAGTACTATTAATTCCAAGGAGAACATTAATCCAAAGGGGGCACAATTTAAATTACACAGCATTATAATAATAAATAAAAAAAAAAACCTGAAAGTTCCATTTCGGTTATAATTTTTTCGTGAATATTTTTATATATACAATATAATTATAACCCAAATGAATCTTTAAGGTTTCCTCTTCATTTATTATTATATATTATATATATATATATATATATATATATATATATATATATATATATATATATATATATATATGATATAATATATATATATATATATTATATATTTATTTATAAATTATATATCTATATTTATATGTATTAATATATATATATAATATAAATATATATTTCATATATACTATATATTAATATGTATTATATATTAATATACATATATTAAATATTATTATATATATTAAATATGAATATATATATATTATATATTAATATATATATATTATATTAATATATATATATATATATTATATATTAATACATATATATATATATTAATATATAATATATTAATATATATGTACATTATGTATTAATATATATATATATAAAATATTAATATATATATATTAATATATATATGATATATATATATTAATATATATAATATATCTATATATATATGTGTGTGTGTGTAGAAAGACAGAGAGATAGACAGACAGACAGATAGAGAGAGATGAGAAAGTGGGGGTGGCATGGAAAATGTTGTGCACCAGCACAACTGAGATATATAATATGTCATATATACGTATGTGCATTTATACAAACGCGCACGCACATATATGTATTCTTACTCCAAACGTTATATATCCGTAATATACCGGTTTGCTCTATTTATTCAATCTCCTTCTTGTGTTCACGTTACTGTGTGTAAAATGTGTATCACTTCATCTTCATATATGTACTCAAGTCTCTGTGTTTGTATGTGTGTGGTTGCAGTTTAATTTAAGGGAGACCGTGTACATGCTTTTTAAATACGTGCATCAGTGATAGAAGATTGCCTTAGGGCTGCTTAATGAAAAATCCAGTGATGGAGAGCCAAGAAAAAGGAGGCAAGTGCGCAGAAAAGATTACAAGAGAGAAAACATGAATTCAGAAAATTTATTTTAAAAATTCGAAAGGAAAAATTGTTGCTGACAGCGATTTCCTTGTAAAAGAATCCGCCATTTTGTTTTCATTCAACACTGAACGAAAAAATAGTAGATGAAAATTCTTCACTGTTTTCACAGCAATTTCTTTCTTTCTCATTTTCTCTCTCTCTCTCTCTCTCTCTCTCTCTCTCTCTCTCTCTCTCTCTCTCCATTTTTTTTTATTAGAGAGAGACTTACTTATTTCTTTCCCGTTATCTCATCTCTTTCCGATCACGTGACTTCTCTTTTCTTTAAATTTTCATTTTCGTCTTTAAGTCGCTTACATCAATTTCTGTATTCATTGAAACTCGGCTTTTATGTAAAAATTCTTTATCCATTTTTCTTTCATTCCTCGATCACCACTACAAATTAATTCTCTTATCAGCTTTTGCCTTCTTCAAATTATACTCTTTCATATTTTTCTGATCTTCTTTCTACCTATATTCTTCGCTTATATATATTTCTTCTTCCTTTTTATATATATCCTTTCTCGTCTCATTGGCCATCAAATTTTTCTAACTTGTTTTTCTTCATTTTCTTCTTTGTCGTTTTATTAACGTTGTTGATTTTCATGTCTATATTTTTTCTATAATTCTGCAATTCAATTGACATCATCATTTTTTTATTTTCTATTTTATTCATTTTACATCTTCCGGCTTTTCTTCGCATCTCGCACGAAAGTTGAATCCCTTGCCTTCTTTATTCAATTCCTCTTCATATAAAATTAGGGCTCGTCACCTTCAGCCATCAGGAATAGCAAAGGATCTTACAAAAGGGTCGAGCAGACGACAGATGTAGTCCGATGTTTAAAGGCTCAAGGGTACAGAGATTTGTCCCTTCCTTTTTTTTCCCCTGAATTCCATCCACAACCCTTTCGCCAAACTCAAATCGATTATGGTTGCAATCGATCAATCTCCTTTCAATGACAAAAATCTGCCTCTTTTGATTCCATATTTTTATCATTATTATCACAACCGCCATTGCAACAACCAACGCGACAATAACGACAACAGTCATATCTCGTGTTATAACACTCTGCTATTCCATCTTATGCTTCTACTTCCAAAATTGTAACAATACACATCTTACAATTTATACTCTTTCAAACATTACATTTATATCTCTTCTTAAGAAATATTATAATTACCAAAGTAGATCTAATATACCTACCATTACGACCAAAATCGATTTCTACCACAACAAATAAAATTACTATTTCAATTTTCAAACCGCACATATTACTGTTCGAATGTTTTCCTCTGACACTATGGCTAATGTTGTCCTCTGACATTAAGTAATGTAGGTTTACGGCCGTATGACGTTGAAACACCGGTTCTCGTACGATCACCGAAGTTAAGCAACGTCGAGCCTGGTCAGAACCAAGATTGGTGACCGCTTGGGAATACAAGACTTGTGTGGAGTAATGGATAACGGCTCAAAATTGGAAATCAAAGAGCCGAGTTCCAATTCCGGTTGGGTTCATTATATTCACTCTCGCGCAAAAGGGAAAGGCATGAATCCACATTTTCTCCCATAGCTACAGGTTAATTAGTAGGACTTAAATTATTTTCTCCCAAAATTCTTACAATGTAAAAATATTTTTGGCTTTAAATAATCTACAAAATGTTGACAAACAGTAAAAACAAATCGATCAAGCAAACAATGCATATTAAGTCTTAGCAAGGCTTGAAATCGATGATACAGTTACTTTATGCAAATTCCCAAGGAAAAACATACCTAAAAATACCAATTTATCCTTCTACATTACTCTACGTATCAACCTTGCTATGACGTTAATGTCACTAATTGCTCTAGTCAACCAACCAAGTAATGCCATATACTAAGACTAACATGATTGCAACTAGAAATAATGAAAGTATCATTTAAAATAACTAGCTTGTCCAATCAATACCTCCAAGTACACTACTATTAATATATTTACTAATACTAGCTAAATGCAGCAGAATACTGTTTTAGAGTAAGAAGATTGAGTTACTATCATATTTCACTCTTTTAACAATTTCTAATGGTACTAATAGTCCTGATCTATTTATTAATAGTTTTTTTTATTTACATATTACCAGTATTTCCATGAATGAAAAGTCGATCTTATTCCTACTTTCGGCGGAACCCAGTGTTGTAAAAGTTGCCTAGTAATATTTCCAGTTGTCGCTGGCCGAACACATTTAAAAGCTAAGATTTTGCTGATTTTTAAGGCAGACAGAGAAAATTGAAGTAACACTATTTCTTCTCCTATTTTCCCGATCTACCCTCGCACTTTATTATACAATGCTTAGTAACTAATCCCTTACAGTCCGTTTTGATTATTGTTATACTGTAAGTTCAACATAACTAACCATACAATTATGGATTTAAATATCACTTCTATATTTACTGTTATTGCTACAAGTGCACTCACTACAAACAGGTATTAGGTAAATTAAAACACCTTTTCTTACAAGCAAATGTTTTGAGAGGATTGAAATCACTAACAAAAGCTAACCATTGTCGACGCCAAAAGTTCGAAAATTACTGTAATTAGCAAAACCGTCCCTTTAATTATGACGCCGTTATATCAGGATTCAGTTATCGAATATAAAAACAAGATAAAAAAATTTAAAAAAAAAAACAAAAGAAGAGAAGACACCATAATTAGAAAAAGTATTTGTCATTTGATAAGATGTTTATTAGGATGAATTATTCCTGTAATATGACCTTTGGCGAAGGCTTGTGGATGTTATTTTAAATATTTGTATGTTATTATTTTATTTATCTTCATTTTAACAATATCAATTTAGTTCACATCCGCAAATTTAATGATTTCTATCTCAGTTTAATAGAGAGGAATTAAGTTATTGAGTTCAAGTTTTAGTAATAGAACTTATGTCTTATGTCGGGGGCAGGGTTAATACTGAAAGAGGAAAATATTAGTCTCTTTCTGTTTATTCAAATAAAGAAGTTTTGTTATGAAACATATCTCATTAGATATTTGCAAGACCGACCCATTCTCAATCACTGAATTGTTTGTCAGATGAAAGATTGAAATTATTAATTCCAAATTTGTTTAGATTCTCTTGCAACAACTCCAACCATCATAATGAAAAAAATTCCAAAAATCAGGGAATTATTTATATTTTGTAAGTTCAGATGATATTCGAGGTACTTACAAGGAATATTTCAAAATTTAAAAAAAAATCTGTTTTTTGGCTTGTTTGTCGGGGTGAGCGTGAATGTAAACTTCACACTTAGAAATAGCGCAGCCGAGTCGGCCATATTTGGAGCGATCATAAAGTCAACCCAACCAGAGTGCAATGGAAGAGCTTTCCCTCTGGGAGAATTTGGTGTGAATTTTAGTAAATTTAGCGAATTAACAGAAAAGATCCGAAAGATTATACAAAAATAATGATCTCAAGTCAGTTATGCCATTGATTGATTTCCGCACACTGAGCAAGAGGTTTGTTTGTCTCAAGTTATAATAATTTGTTGTTTTATAATTAGTTTTTGTTGTGACTGCATTGACCAATCTCACCAATCAGAAAAAAAAATTATTAAATGTCATCATTCAATAAACATTAGCAAAACGATGAATTAATTTTCTTATCAACATTAGTGAGTATAAATTAATTTAAAAGTTCTGGCTGCAAACAGAATTCAGTCAATAGCGATTCAGCAAAGTTTCTTGAAAATCGAAGTAAAAAATTCGACCAAGTCAACGTTGTTTGGATCAATTCATTTTCTTGTCACTCATCAAACATTTATTTTGCATTTAAACGATATTCATTGGTAGAAAAAAAATAAGAATGAATTTAAAACTACACGAATAAATCAATTTGACTGTGGAAAATATTTCACTATGTCACAGAAAAGTCTGGATATTCAATAAGCTTAACATTGTACAGCAGAAAAGCATCCAGTGCCAAACATCCAGTGATCTTACTACAGGAATAGTTAATCTATCAGACACTAGCTAATCAGTAGACTAGTATTTCTCAACCGTTTTTAAGCAACGGCACACCTAGGAACAAATAAAAATATCACGGCACGCTTAACAAAATTTTCAAAGAGTAGACATTTAAATGTGCGAAAGTGGAATAAAATATTACGATGAAAATAACAACAATTTCAGTACAATTCAATGTTATTTTCATTTTATACAAATTTCAGAGAAATATACTTTCAAAATTGAAATGATTTATATCGGAAACTTTGACAATATTAATTCATAATTCAATATAACTTTGTAAAAAATTTGAATTAAACAAAGAATATTGAATTCAATTATATGAAAAATGTTAATTTTCATTTATTCAAATAAAGGAAAATTTTAAAAATTTAAATTAAAAAAATAAAAATACTTTTTAGAAAATGAATATTAAAACAAAGTATTTAAAATAACATAATTGAAGAATAGTGAAAAGAATTATTTGAAAAAAAGTTTATTAATTATTCAAATAATAACGCTGTACCATCACTACTTTCATGCACACGCGCATATATATATATATATATATATATATATCATGACAATATTTCGCGGCACATTTAAGAGGATCGTGTGCCCCACTAGTGGTATGGCGGTTGAGAATCACTGCACTAAATCATAGCAAATCATCTCATCACGGAGGAGTATAAAACGTCACTTGAGTTTGTAGATGAGAACCTTTCAACAAATCGATGCTCTTTTTACTGATATTAATAAAATTGTTAAATATATAAACAAATAAGCTTCGAATTGCTAAATATTAAAACTGAAGTTATATTTAAAAAGTCAGTTTTTTTAAAATAACGAAATTCTAGCGTCACATTAGACGCTGCGTTCGGTGTTATTTTTTTATTCGTTTATCATTTGTTATACAAGAGTTTTTTTCTTATTAATTACAACAGCAGAAAAAAAGGTTCGAATTTGAAAACTTATCTCGATAAAGAATTTGTTGTTCATTTATCATGAACTACCAAATTGCATCGAATAAGGAAGAACACGCAAGCATTTTCCTATCTCTTTTTCTGTAAGGTCAAATGTTACGGTTCTAATTGTCATTCTGAAAATTTGAACGTCTACTTCACTGTCACCTGTTCATGAGTGGAGCTACTTAGCTATCAAACTGAACCAATCATAACGATTGACAGTAATAACGGTGACAAAGATGGAAAATATTCACAGCAATGCTGAAGTGGTTCTGACTGCAATCACCTTAGTGGCGATGGTATTGGCGTCAGGGATGTTGGTGATTCAAATGTGAATAGTATTCTGTCTAGAGTTGACAGCGAAGATGGTGATTTTCCATTTAATGAGGTTAACGATAGAAATATGAAAGCCATTCGAAAAGACGAGTCAAAATGGCTGACCGAAGGCAAGAGAAAATGTTCATATGTTCGTACAAAGGCGGGAATTGGCGTCGATGGTTGGCAGTGAAGTTGGGAGATCAGATGGCGACTGTGATTTGAACAGACGATGGTGGCCAGGCATTGCAGTGCAAAAGAGACATCATTTCCTACAAACACGCCTTATTACTCGATTGAAATATACATGACAAAAACAGATGCAGACTTGAAAATGGTTCAATGCTATATATGAAAGAGACGAGATTTTCAAAAGGACATGTCTGTATTAATTACATAGATATGAAGAAACTAATAGAATGATTTGATAAGTATATTAATATAAATATTTATATAAATTATGTCCAAATCGTGTATATGAGTTGATTTGTTAACGATGAGGTTTTATGTGATAAGACTTCTGCGTATTATATGAATGGAACGGACATATAAGGACAGATCAATGAATCAACAACCTGACTTTTCAGTATATAATGCTCTTTCTATGTTAAGATTTGACAATGAATTACGTACATCGACAAGGAAGATTATATTGATAAATCAACACTTGTTCAATTGAAGGAATTATACGTACTTATTGATGCACCTACGTATACAATAATCAATATAAATGTGAGTGTGTGTGTGTGTCTTTTATTTGCGTTTTCAACGTTATTGGTCAATGCGTGTGTATATGTGCACACATATATACTTGCGCAAACAGATGTAGATGGGTTTATATTTGTATATGGTATGGTGTGTACATCCAAATATACGGTTGTATATACACCATCGTGCACCATGTGCGTCAACTCACTGAAACACACACTCCTAGATATATATGATAAAATATAGTTTTAAGGTATACTAAATTTATGGGCTAAAGTGCTCAATATCAGGGATAGAGCGTACATAAATATATATATATCAGGGATACGGCGTATGTAAATATATATATGTGTGTGTGTGTGTGTGTGTGTGTGTGTGTGTGTGTGTGTGTGTGTGTGTGTGTGTGTGTGTTGGTGTAACTGTTAACAAACGTATTTATGTCATTAGAACGTGTGCCAGCAAGCATCACCTCGTCCAAGGCATTTGTGGAAAGGTAAGGTGATGAGTATTCCAAGGGCGTAGGTATATGAATTGGTTTTGCGGGTGGGCGGTTGGAAGGTCGGATGGAGGAGTCAACGAATCGATGACCGTTTCTTCTCCAACACGCAACGACAACCAGAATGCGTTGCTTCTCTCTTTCGTTCAACGAATTGATCAACGGCCGAGGCTCGACTCGACTCGACCGTCTCCTGACGGCCTTCCATTAAAAGGCCGTCTCTTTCTAGTGGCTTTTGCAAGCAGCAACAACTGCCGCGCCGACGTCGACCCCATCCCGACACATTCAGTATGTGTGTGCACATGCCACTCTCCCACCATTGCACAATGAAGAGAATGCCAAAGGTAAGAAGAGCAAGACCGAATCGATCACATTTCAAGGCAGTGCGACAACAACAGCCACCACCACCACCATCACCACATCCTCCACCCTTCTTCTTATTTCCCATACTCTCCATCTATTTCGAATTTGGTTCTTTTTTCTACTGATCTTTCTTTCTCTTATTTTTTTTATTGTGTTCGAAGTTTTTCTATTCTTGTTTTAATATTTTTCTCTTCTTTCTTTCGTAACTTTATCTTTCTCACTTTCACTGACATCAATTCTGTTCCTCCCTCTCTCCCCCCCCTCTCTCTCTCTCTCTCTCTCTCTCTCTCTAGTTGTCACTCATTCATCGATCCATCTTTCTGTTCGTTCTCTCCTCTTTTCTTTGTTCCTCCCGAATTAATATTTTCTCTTATCGTCTTTTCTCTTTTTCTTTTTTTGATTCCTTCCAAGCCACCAACACTAACCTTTCCCTTTCTGCTCATTATTCATCTCCTCTTATTTATATGCTTACGCTTTACATAATACCATTTACAGGCAAATTGCTACTTGCTTGCTCTCTCTCTCTCTCTCTCTCTCTCTCTCTCTCTCTCATCATTCCTCAAATGCTTTTTATTTATCTTACTCATTATCTAATTTCCACTTTTTCATTATTGCCATCATCATTACCATCAGCACACTTATAATCATATGACTTTGATTATCATTAATAAATATTACTAGAATCGCTGTATTGGTAATAGTAATCAAAGGATAAAGAGACATTTATATTCTACTAGCAACTATACCCGGTATTGTTAGGGCCAGCTTTCCTCTGGTTTACTACGTAAAGGTCTATTTGAGAAATTTGCGTCTGACGCAAAACAGTATTAGCAAAACTGTCGTAATCAAAGTAATTCGTTCCGTTGGCTTGAACATTTTCATAGTTGGTTATTTCATATACGATATATTCTAATTTATAATATTGTATTTCAAAATTATACTATTAAAATAGTAACATTATTTACTTCACCTTATATATGGCTTCACTCCAAAGCTGTGATCTAAATGCTTAGTTAGTTATTATATACAAGGACGAAAATGGCTTTATTTAAATAACTATCAATCAGAAAAGTGTTGTGGTAGGATCCACCTAATTTGCATAGTGGAGTACCGACCATATAAATATGGTTGGTACCGAGAGGACGAGGGGAGGAATCAAGAGATTCAATCCAGAGACTCTGCCCGACTGCGACTAAGTCAACACATTCTCCAGGAACGGTCTTCCCAAGAATATACAAAAGACTATATGTAAATATTGTGTACACTTTCTTGTTTCAATATATTTTGTTCTAAGTACATTTTGTGTTGTATTATTATTCCATGCATTCGTCAAGTTTCAACAAAAAGCCAGCAACAAAACACCCGCTTGATCCTAAAAGACCAGATTGAAAATGAATAACAAAATATTTTTAGAAAATATATTTTTAAATCGAAAAAAATTTAGTTATATTCTTGAAAAAAGAACCGTTCAATTGGAGAAGATAGCTGATAGAATTAAATAGGAAACTGTCTTTATTTGATGTCACAATATTTGTAGACACACGACCTGACAAACAAAAAACTTCATATATATATATATATATATATATATATATATATATTTAAAGATATGTTTGGTGGTATAAAATTTTATCACAGACATGAATAGACAAAAATTAGTTTTATTATTACCAGTCATAATAATAAAAAGTAAAAATGAAAAACAGGCCAGCTAACCGGTTTCGTACCTTGCTCAACAGAGCTAAATCGAGGTAAATATAGTAAATTATATAATAAAAAAAAAGAACAATGGACAAAGTTTATTGGTAGGGAGAAAAAAATTAAATGGTAATTAGTTGGAGGCCTAATATAAAGTTCTTCTGTTTTTGGGACTTTATATTAGGCCTCCAACTAATTACCATTTATAATTTACTATATTTACCTCGATTTAGCTCTGTTGAGCGAGGTACGAAACCGGTTAGCTAGCTTGTTTTTCATTTTTACTTTTTATCGTGAGTGGTAATAATAAAACTAATTTTTGTCTAATCATGGCAGTAATATATATATATATATATATATATATATTCGGTGTTTCCAGCTAACGGACGGACACACACACACAAACAAACAAACAACACACACACAAATCATAATTACACATTAATTTTTTTATTTCTTTGTTTAAAGATTCGCCCTTTTTCTTTTCTTTTTTTTCCACTCACTTGATGTTGTTTCTTCTTCAATTTTTCTGTCAGTTTATCCACCTTTCTTTTATTCAAATGATGTTACCTATGAATCTTTCTCTCAGGTTTTGTCTCTCTAAAACATGATAACTTACCATCATTTCATAAATATCTATTCATCAGCAATTTACCATTCTCATTTACCATCAAATCTTTTGGTTTAATCCAGTCATTTTTTCACAATCATTTGATTTTTCTGCCTGCTTCTCTTCAAGAGATTTTTTTTACTCCAGTTCTGTTTCTGTTGTTCGATATACTTACCTCCTACTCTATATATTTCTTTCTCGATATGCTACCCATTCTATCATTTGATATTATTTGTAAACCCATTACCTGTACCCCTCCTCTCTCTCTCTCTCTCTCTCTCTCTCTCTCTATCTATCTCTCTCTCTCTCTCCCTGTCTCTCGCTTGTCCTCGTCTTGTTTTCAGTTGTTTCAATTATTTTCCCATTCCAGAGTTATCTCCTCTTGTTTTCAATTCATGTCTATTTCATCGTTCGATGTACAGAGAATGTTTCCCTCTCTTTTAGCAGACATTCAATGGCTGCTTTTATTAAGGGCCATCTTCACGCGAAAACCTCCTGACCCATTCATCGACAGATAATTATTGGAACGAAGATGACAACAAAGGTGAGTAGTAGTGAAAGGGGAAAAGGAAATGAAGTGGATGAAAGGAGAGAGAAAAAAGGAGTACATGGTGAAGACTGGATGGAAGCAGTGAATCATAGGAGAAAGGCGAGAAGAATCAAAAGGAGGAGTAGAATGAGTAGCAGGATGAGGAGAAGAAAAAAAAAGATCCCAATAAAAAGAAAGCAAAAGAAAGAAACGGATCAATAATTACTGAAGAGAAAGAAATTGAAAAATGTTAAAAACAGAAAAGTGGATAAGGAACGATTGAATTGCTTAGAAAATTTACAGAGAAATTAAAGAGAAAAGAAAGAAATTATTTAAAAGGTGCATGCTAAAAAATATAGTGATATCTGTAGAGAATCTTTGGAAGATGAGTACCCGAGAGAGTATAAGCAAGATGGATCGAAAGACGTATATCTTGGAACGACGTGACAATCGATTAATATGGAGAATCCAAGACGAACAGAAAGAGTATTTCAAGATAAAGAGTATAAAAGAAAATCTGTATGGATGCGATCGGATTAAAGTAGTAAATATATGAAAAAAGAAGAGAAAGAGCGAATTATTAAGAAAATAGCAAAATTATTATTGATTGTCTGAGATGAACTACGAGAGTATAAGAATCTAATACATAAAGCTCAAAGTGTGTGTACATGTGTGTGTGTGCGTATGTGTGTGTGTGTGTGTGTGTGTGTGTGTGTGTGTGTGTGTGTGTGTGTGTGTGTGTGTGTGTGTGCTTACTGGACACCCCGATAATTAAAATTATTTTTTCTCACCATGTGGGTGCGTATTCTCACAAATACTGGCGTAATAATTTCAAGAAATAAAAAATGATTAAAAACAAGTAGAGAAAATTTGAGAATTTATTTAGAAATAATTAGAAAGAATATTAAGAGTGGGAGGGGATAAATAATGGAATAGATAAAGGATTTATCAAGAAGCGAGAGAGAGACAAATGAATATATGTGAATAAAAGTAGAAAGAGAAGGTGAAAACGTAGAAGAGAAACAGTAGTGAGTAGGTTAAATTTCGGAAAGTAAGAAAGATTAAAACAAAGTCAAGGAGAAATTAAAATAAATAAAGAAACCTGTAAAGGGAGAGAACCAATATAAAATAGAGTAAAGAAAAAGCGTACGACATGAAGAAGTTTCCGAAGAAGACAAGAAAAATTTAGAAAGAGACAAGACAAAATGAGGTAAGAACTATTATACCGAAAAGAAGAAAAGTGAGAGAAAAAAACAAATACAAAGAAATAAAAAGCAATAAGGAACGAATTTTTAAAGATACAATCGCATCTCTACTATCCATGTTTTCTGCTTTATAAGCAACGAGTCACGATATAAAGTTTAATCATTTAATATCAAATAGGAACCTGTTCATACAACATCTCTCTGATTGTGTCACTTTTGTCAATGAAAAATAAGAATTCTATGACACTCTCTACAGCTAATCAGTTTTAATGGTCCCAAAGTACAAAATTAATGATACAGACAATTTGGATATGCCAGAGAAACGGCTGTAAAGTACTTCCTATAAATAAATAAAAAATAAACGTTTACTATTTAATAAGAAAAATCGTACGCTAAGGTTACTATGAACGGTAAGAACAAATCTTCTATCAGCTCCATAACTTTTGTTATCGTATATTGTAATAATTGTTCTATTTTATTATTGTTATTAATCTCCTACTGTGACTAAATTATGAATTAAACTTTATCATATGTTTGTAGGTATAGAAAAATATAGTATTGTAATAAGGTAGATGGTGCAGACAAATGAATAACACAAGACTTGAATATTTCATATTTAACATAAAATTTTATCTCACCCCAAAACTTCGTCTGCTACTGTCAGCCAGTGTTCATTTGAACTACCCCGTCGCTTCTGGTCCAAAATGGGGACTTTATATCCCCGCCTGCGATGTCTGCGAGACTGCCTAATTCCTTTCTGGGGTGGTTGTTTTATAACTGCAGGCATTGTGGTTCTTTCCCGCTGTTGCAAAAAAGGGATGCATCTGTGAGATAACAAGATTCTGCAACAGGAATACCCTCAGGTCAAAGCTGCACTTAACTCAATTTGTGTGAAAGGGAGTGCAAATGCTATCCTCTCATAGCACTATCGAGCACTATTCTTTTTTAAATAATAACAAAAATATTAAAGAACTTTGGATTATTTACCTAACGACTTCTTTCCTATTTTCTATATATTTTACACACACACACACACACACACATATATATATATATATATATATATATATATATATATATATATATATATATATGATTCGTTACTATTTGTGGATGGTTTCAGGTATCAGTTGTTGACCTAGAAAGATTTCATGTGGATATGCGGGACTACTGCATTAATCTGAATAGTTGCAGAAAAGTAAAAAGAAGAAAACCGGAAATAGACAAGCAAAAGATTTTGGGCGAAAATCTTTGGCTTTTTACTGTTGACATTCTCATCGGATCTGTTTTTGGTGCAGAGAACAACGGCAAGAAATGATCAAAGGGAAGATTTTGAAGACAAATGGCAGAGGTGAAATTTCAAAAAAGAAAAAAAAAATCCGAAAAAGGTGAAGAGAAATGTTCGATAAAGCAGAGAAACCTAACAAATCAAAGTCAGTCTCGAGGAGATTTTTGTGGATATGCACATTCATATTTAAAACGTGTGTGTGTCTTCCTTTTCCTGTGTGTTGGCGTGTTTAGAAATGCATTCATTTATCGATTTCGGAAGATCGGGGAACAAAGATTAAGTGGAATATGAAGGAGAAATATAAGCAATAAAAAAGACAACACTGGAATGGAAGTGGAGATGAAATGTAAAAGTTTCAATGTTTATTTGTTAGTGTATGTATTTCAACTAGAGTGAAAAAGGAGAGTGGGAAAACCTAATGCTTTATTATGAAAGCGAATGTTGCGTGTGTATGGGAAAGCAAGGAACAAGACGATAGAATTTATGAGTATAACTAAGACAGAAAGAAAATTTGCAACTCGATACTCTTATACGGTCGCAGATTTTACAGTTTGAGAGACTGAATGAGTAATAAGAAGGAAAGAAAAAGTTGGCATTGATAATGTTATATATAGACATTTAACAATCTGTAACAAAGTATGTGTGTATGTGTGTTGTACTGGAATGTCTACGTTAACGTAATTGTGTATATACATTATAATCACATTTTATTATTCAAGTTAATGTTTTCGCAATAAAACTGACAATAAGCAACCAATGTTGGCAACGTTTTCAAGATATGTATATACTTAGAAGTTTAAGATTTTAATAGGCAACTTAAGCATTGTTCAGGATAACTTAAATATATAAAACAGTATGGTTATTGATATTTTCTTTCAATTTCACACACACACACACATATATATATATATATATATATATATATATATATATATATATATATATATATATATATAGGTTGCTATTGGTCGTAGAAAATGCATAATCTTAAAATGAAACAAAATACTCATTTATTATAATGAGAAGAAAACTTTGGAAATTACAAAAAAGTTGAACAAACACCAAAAACAATCAAAAAAGTAATTGAAAAATTGGCAAGACAAGCACAAGAAAAAATGGCTTTAAAAGTCTGACAGAGATGTGAGAAAAAATAAAATGTTAATCAGAAAGAAAAATGGCTTGACCAGCAAGAAAATATTTGAAGAAACTAGAGTCATAAATGTAGACAAACCAAAAATATAGAAAATCTTAATAATATTGAACGTAAACACCAGAAAGTTTTACATAGGAATTGGGCGAAGAAGTACATGAAAACTGATTTCTTCGTAATTTTTAATAAATATGAAGTTTGACTGGATGAAGCGGACGACTGAATGGAAATAGTTAACCAACACGAGAGAAGGCAACAGGGTCAGAGGTGGAGTAATGTTTTGGACTAGTTTTGTAAGACAGTAGCGTTATATAGGCCTCTTCAAAGTTCATTAAAAATAAATAAATGCAGAAAATTATTTAGTTCTTGAGCAAAGCATACTTTGTGTAATACAAGTTACAAGTAAGAAGCTTCCAGACAAGTATGACAATGCTCGTTCATATTCTGCAAAAGCGACTAATGTCTATCTTGCCAAACCGGTTTCATTACACAGACACTAAATTAATAGAATGTCTCGTAGCCTCTACCAGATATATTAATCCAATAGAAAACTAGTCGATCATTAAAAGTGATGGATATGTGAATGGAAAGCAATAATCAAGAAGGGAAGTTATCAGGGAAGCAATAAAAACTGTTGCAAGTAATGTTAAAACCGAAACAGTAGAAAAGTTTGAAAAGAAATCAATGATTGAAGGTTAGAATGTCAAGGAGCCATATTAATGTATAAAAGAATTTATTCGGCTATGAAATATTCTATTAATCATATATATATATATATATATATATGTGTGTGTGTGTGTGTGTGTGTGTGTGTGTGTGTGTGTGTGTGTGTGTGTGTGTGTGTGTTATACGTGTGGAGGTTATAACTGTCGGGTTTATTTATAAATAATAATCTCTGAGTTTGTATAATAAAACTTGTCACCTCTAATGGAAATTACTCTCTCACACACACACACACACACACACACATATATATATATATATATATATATTAAGGATAGATATAATTAGAAATATACATGATATATTGCTTATATATACTAATTAATAATTTTGTCAGCATCGCTTGCTTAATATGTATTTTCTTGTGAAAATAATGAGATGTATAAGAAAATCTTTCATGGTAATTGTTCGAATGAGCTCTTCGCTATGGCACCCAGACTTTATGAATTTAAGCGCAGTATTAGACTGGCGTCGAGATCTCATCAATTTACAGTTGAACTAGCTAGATGTAGCTGTAAGTTCTATGCAGTTTATTCTCTGGCACTTCTCGCTTGTGAAACTCCCTTCCGCCTCCATGCTTTCCAGCCAACATTAATCTACAAAAATTTAAATGCAATGTCAAT